ATTGTGGAGTATTCAGATAATTAAATATAACTCAATAAGAAAACAATAAACTATTGATACACCAAGCATCATAGATAAAACTCAAAATAATCATGGTAACAGAAGTGAAACATAAAAAAAATGCATACTATATTATTATATTTGTAGAAAACTCTTGGAAATACAAACTAATTTATAGTAACTGTTAGCCTGAAGCTGGGGGCTGCGGAAAGTTGGGCAAGAGGAATTGAAAATGGACCAAAAAATACTTCTGGTGTGATAAATCACAATCTTGATTGTGATTATGGTTTACTGGATATAAATGTAGGTCAACATTTATCAAATAGCACCTTTTAAATATGTGTAACTTAATATATATCATGTACTTCTTAAATCTGCTAACAAGACAAAATAAATAGAAGAAAAAAGTTGTAGAGCAGAAATTACTCCTTCTTAACTATTTAATTCAGTTCAATAATTGAGCAAACTGTTTGAGAACCAGTTAGACAGTTGCTAACAATTGTGTTTAGAAAAACTCATGTGACTCCGTACACACCAGGTTAGAATAAGAAATCTGAAGGGCACCTTCATTTTACATGTAACAAATTGAGGCCAAAATAGTTTATCTCTTGTCACATCCATCCTTCCCTGCTGTGTTCCACTTATTAAACTATTACATTTGACAAGGTTATTCAGCGGTTTATGTCAGAGAAGATACATGAACCTTCATTTTAAAATATTCAGTGTGATTCTTTTCCATACGAGTTTTCTGAGTCGGCCACATTGTACCATTTATTGTGGCACCTTTAAAAATGTTTCAAGTTGTAACTAGAAATTCATATGCTTTTATTCTGTTGTTTTTTTTCTTCTTCAAACACATAACAGAACACACACTATATTATTCTATTTATAGAAAACTCTTGGAAATGAAAACTAATTATAGTAACCCTGTTTGCCTGAAGCAGGGGCTGGGAAAGTTAGGTAAGAGGAATTGCAAATGCTCCAAAAATTGCATTCAAAAACTGACTCAGATAACAGTTCTAGAAAGACTTTTGTGACCAATGCTGTAGTCTGTTTAACTAGACTTCCAGTTCTGTCTTTAGTACATATCCATGAAACAAATTCCTGTTGTGTGAAAAGAAAATTATACTAAATGCTTCCTAACTGAAAATAATGTTAAGGAATGTTTTGGACATTCTTCATGTCTCCAGTTAAACAATCCGTGATAAATGTCTCCCTAATCCAATAATCGATATCAGTAATAAAATAACATTTGTTCTTTAACCAGAATTTGTTTATAATCAATCTTATATCAATAAAATAACAAGGCAGATAAAATTTATCTTATAAATTAGTTTTCTGAAATACTCTAATATTTGAATGTTTAAAATTTATTATTTCTTATATAGCGTCTTGTTATAGGTACATTACTACTAAAAACCTTGCTAAACTTAAAGCAAGAAAAACACTTTGGCAACTTTAAAGTTATTAACATTAACCTTCAACTGTTAATGTGAATATAACAATAATCTAGCCTCAAGCCAAAAATTATTAACCAAGGACTTTTAGAATTAAAGCCTTTTAAATTTAATTTTAAATCTTGATGATTTATGCTGATTAAATCTTCAGTTCAAATACCCACAGTACAAATTTACCTAATCTGATCTTTAAAATTTACATAGATAACAGTTGTACCAAGGGAATAGTTCTCAGTAAGATATGTCATATAACTGAGGAAGTTCTGAAAACTATCCCAGTGGGTATTTACATAAACTAAGCACTCTTATGTTGAGCCCAGAGTCAGCCCCCATCATCTTTATTTACTGACTTGAATTGCAGTGTCTTTGAGGAGAGAGTCTTTCACATATCTTACAATTATCTTCTACATTAGTTCTTTATACTCCCCTTTCTCCATCAGTTCAACCATTTTTAATGACTTTTTTAGTAATCCTTCAAAAATTTTAGACTTTTACAATTTTTGCTGCAGCTGAAATTTTATTTCCACTAATATTTTTATGTATTTTAATAGGACATTTGTAGAAAAAGAAAAATTGTTAATGTTTATATTTTAATCATCTTGCATGTTTGCACACATTTAATACTTAGGGGATTTTTAATGGTTGCCTTACTATTTAAACATTTGAAGTAAATTTGAACTCTAAAGTATGTAATTTGAAAATGAAGCATTCACTCATTTTTCCTGGGTGATGCAGGGGTACACATAAGAAGGACATTTTCTTTTGTGATAGGAATATTTTTTTCTCTGTAATTTCACACTGTTAAATGTTTTCTTCCTGGAAAAATGCTGATGACATACTCCTAAAGAGGTAAGACAGTTATAGAGGACTGTGATGAACAGTCTTACTTTTTGGTCATGCTTGTATAGACATATAAATGTACAATTTAGCTGTATCATTGTATTAGAAAGTAGTTTTTCCTTTTAATCAATATATAGTGTTCTTTTTAAAAAAATGTTCACCCTAAGTGCTCTAGGAACCTTTGAGATCTGTTATATTAAGGCTGTAATATGTCCATATATTCTATGGTAAATTATTCTATTACACACACAGATACACACATGTACAAGAATACACTCACATAACCAGACATCACATCAAAGTGACTTTGAGTCAAGTTGTATTGTCAATGCCAAAACTCCTGTAGGTGCAGTCAAAAGATGATTCCAAATTTTTCTTTGACCAATATATTGTTGTTGCTTGTATTGTGGTAGCAATATTTCCATATACTTACTTCATAACTTAAAAATTATCAGTTTGGATTATTTTGTGTTTTTATTTCTCTATTCTCTTTTATGTGTCTCCACTGTGCTTTTTAAAACAAGTTTTTTCATTAACAGTATTCTCTTTTTGTGGTGATTTATTTAGTAGTCTCATAAACTACAAAATAGGATGATGCTTGTAGATCAGTTTATAAGAAACAGTTTATATAAAATGTGGCACATCCTAGAGATGTAATTTGATAGCAAATCAATATGTGCCAACTATCAAAATATATCAATTTAATTTAGATGAAAAAGATTGAAAGCATAAGTTATAGAAACTTATTTTTTCCATAGAAAGCTGCCTGTCCTTACCAGAAATAATCATGGAGAATTTCACAATTAGGAAACATAAGAGGCTCTCTGCTTAAAGAGTTATAAAACAATTTGAATTTTCATTGTTCAGACAGTGTAGTGAGACTGAATAAAAGGAAGGTAGTAGAAACATATGGAAATACATAAGGAAAGATGAAGCTGTATAAAGACACTAAAATCTTTGCAACCTGGAAACCAATGAGACTCTGGCATTCTACGTCACAATGTAATTTTTTTTCACACATTGGAGCATTACTATAATATGTTGCACAAAAGTTTTTCTTCGTTACCTTTCCCCTTAAGACCTAGAGCAAGATAGCAATGAACTAGCTGTTACATTGCAAAAGACAGATCTTTAGACTGAATTATAATTAATATGTCTTCATATATTATAATTAATATGCCTAACTCTAGATTTCTGTTATGAGGACTAGAGAACCATAATATCAATTGGTTAAAAAGAAATACTTTGATGACATAAGAAAATTTAAAGTTTAAATTGGCATATTTATTAATGGAAGACATTAAAAGAAGCACTAACTTGTAAATGGTAAATTTATATGACCTTGTTGTACACATAAGACTAAACATGTTAAAATAATTCCCACTACAAGAAAATCATTTGTTTTCTAGTCCATATACCATTATTGATTTGTGTAATTGGAATGCACTTTCACTTTTGAAATCACCTTTAAAAAAAAAAAAAGTGTATTGTTGAAGCTCTGAAGATCGTGTGTTTTGCATCTTTAAACATTTTTGACTGGGTATTTATAACTGGATCTGTGGTAACTGCCACCTCAGTGTTCACATCAACAGCATGTTTTTATGTGTCAAATATAGAATTTCCCAAATGCAATCTAGTTATTCATCTTCAAGATTGTCTGATTATTAGAATATGAACTTTTAAATTTAGGATGCAAAATCTGTTGTATATTCATATCTAGATTCTCCAGCATAGTGTAGGGGCCTAGTAAATGTCTTGTTTGGAAAGTTTACATTCCATTTTTTGGCAAGAACTTGGGCATATTTATATACTGAAAAATGTAATTCAGTGTAATCATGTTTTATATTGTTACCAAGTAACTATATTATGAATTTCCTAGGTCTTTAGTTTGTCCTTGGTATGCTGTCTTCTGTGTGCATTTACTGAGTTCAACAATTTAACTTTCAGGATTGGAGACCATTAAAAAGCACATTTTTTAAGAGCAAAAGAATAATAAATTATCAATAATGTGTAAATGATAGGCATTAATAGTCAAGAATAAAATACTGAATTTGAAAAAATTTATAAAAATAAAAGGGATAAATATGCTTTAGATAGCTTCTTTTCTGCTGAAATGACCTGTGTTACCTCTAGCTCAATGCCATGCCTTCGAGCCCCGATTGATAGAGCAATCCTATTTTCAAGCACCAGCATGATTTCAAAATTTTCCTTTATAGGCCCAGTCCATTCTGGGTAAAGTAAATCTATTCCACTTTTTCAGAGATAAAACCTACTGCCAGTTAAAATCAGCTTGATAATATGAATAACACTAAAAAGATCAATCAGAAAGATGACTCAAAATGCTGATTTTTGAGAAATTTGAAGAAATGCTTTTGGATGACAATTATCTAAAAAGAGATATCCAAAAGGAAATATCAGAGGTTTTAATTCTAAAAATTCACATTGTTGTGCATTTGTCAAGCATTATTAGTACTTTCTTATTTTTTTCTCACTCATACTAGCTTGGGCAGCTGCTATGGGTTAAATTGTGTCACCACCAAAAAGAAATGTTGAAGTCTTCGAGTACCTCAGCATGTGACCTTATTTAGAATTAGAGGCAGTCAAGTTAGAATTTGATTATTAGGGTGAACCTTAATCCAATATTGACTGCTGTTCTTATAAAAATAAGAAATTTGGGAACAGTCACAGACATACACAAAAGGAATACTTACCTGGCAGGGGAGATACCGTGATCACGAAGGTGATTTTCTGAGGGTGAGACTTATCCATTGCACTCTGGGTGTGCTGACCCCTGTGTTTTCCCCAAACGTGGGAAACTGGACTGCATAATTTATGATAGTGGGGGACTGTGTTCACACTTCCCCCTGACTTTTTGAAAGAAACAAAAATTAAAAAACAAACAAACAAACAAACAAAAACAAAGGAAATCTATGTGAACACACATAAAGAAAAACATGGCTACATGACTGGACTGATGCATTTATAAAAGAAGAAGTGCTAAGGATTACTGAAAGATACCAGAAATCATAATTGGTGAGAAGGGATTCTCCCCTAGAGCTATTAAGAGAGTATCACCCTAGCAGTATTTTGATATCAGACTTCCATCCTCTAGAAATGTGAAGTGATAAATTTATGTTGATGTAAGTGGCCAAGGTACTGGCAGCCCTAGGAAACAGAAATATAGTAGCTTATCTACTTTTTATTAAATAATAATTTTAATAAAATATAGTACACTCAGCCCTCTGTATCCAGGAGTGCCACATTTGTTAAATAACCAACCTTGGAATGAAAACAATAATAAATTAATTAAATAATCAACAAAATATACAAATAAATACAGCATAAGAATAATTTACATGACATTTGCTTATGTTAGGTATTATAGGTAACCTAGAGTTATTTAAAGTATATGGGAGGATGTGTGTCGGTTATAAATACTATGCCATTTTATATTAGGGACTTGAGAAATCATGAATTTCTGTGTCTGCAGGGGCCCTGGAACCAATCCTTTTTGAGTACCCAGGGACAAGTATATTATGAAATATCTGCTTGTAATTAGATAATCTTGGAAAAAAATGTAATACCAACTGCTGAATTACTGTCATGACAAGATAACCTTTAATGACTTCGTGTGGTGGCTCACACGTATAATCTCAGCACTTTGGCAGGCTGAGGCAGGTGGATCACTTGAAGTCGGGGGTTCAAGACCAGTGTGGCCATCATGGTGAAAGCCTGTCTCTACTAAATCTACACAAACTAGCCAGGCATGGTGGTGCACACCTGTAATCCCAGCTAGTTAGAAGGCTAAGGCAGGATAATCGCTTGAACCCAGGAGGTGGAGGTTGCAGCAAGGTGAGATTGCACCACTGCACTCCAGCCTGGACAACAGAGCAGGTTCTGTCTAAAAAAAAAACCCTTTAAAATACTAGAAAGAAATTAAAATCTGTGCTTTAGTAAAATAACATACACTGGTTTTAAAGTATTCATCGTTTAATAAATCTAGAAGTTGACTGAATCATTTTAAAACAAATGTATGATTTAATTTCATATGCAGCAAATAATTTGGCATGTTATTTTTAATACATTTTAAACTTTACATTTGTAAATAAGCACAAGAAAACTCTAGCAAGTGCATATAATCCCGTGAATTAGAAATATTAACCATACAAACAAGTTTTGATCATTAGTATGTATCTTTGCTGGAAACTAATAGTTTGAAAATCTAATGACTGATAGCTAGGGAAAAATTTGCAGATGGTATATTTTCCTAACTCAGTGTAATGTGGAAATATTCCTTGATGTAACTCCTACTCCCACAATGTCTAATTAGTGGCAGGGTGGGGTGAACACTCCCATCATTGGTCTTCGAATACATAATATCTGATTTTTCTTGATTAATTACACATGTTTTTACAATTTACAATGTGAACTGGAAATCTTATTTAAAAATAACATGACTGAAAGTTAAATTTTTCTTTTTTCCCAATCTGTTTTCCTCTTTTCTGATGCAAATAAGTCACAAGACTGAGTTTTACTTTCCAAACCTCAGTCTACAGAAAATTTGTCACAAGTAAAATATTACATTAATTGGAGTTTATTCAGCAATCCTTCCCTAAGCAGAAGTCCTACTAAAATCAGAAATATTAAATTTGATACTGAATCTTAGATGCAAGAAGTTACGTGTTACTTGCTAAATGTTGTTTTAGCTATGCTGGGGGTGATATTTCCATAGAGAAAATGGGTAACTTATTCCCTATTAATATGAACAAAAATATAGAATTAAATGTTAACATTTTATGTTGGCAGTGTACTTTAAGGTGTGTATATATATATATGTATTCTCTGTCAAAAGCTGCCATATATTGCTAGCAATCATAGTCAAAAAGCATGATAAAAATGAAATATGTACTTCTAAATTCAGTCTACTCACATTAAACCATTAGAGATATTTTCAGAAATGAAGTCAAATATTGTCCTTTTCACACCTTTTTCAGTTGCTATATTATTTCCTGCAAAGACAGAGATTGGTACTCCAGAAAGGAATTCCCATATCTTTGATTAGTTAACTTGATGGCCACATTTGTATCTCTCAAGACCCATGTGGCTTTAGCAGGTGACTGATACCACAGCGGTTACTTTTTAAAAGTTCATTTGCTCTCTGATATAATGTGCTGTAGGACTAAAGATTAAATTTTCACTTAAGTATAGAATGTGTACCACTCTTGTACTTCTAAGTGATTTTCTCCAAACTTTCTTCACCACGGTTTTTTACACTACTAATGTAACATCTTTAAATATGTCACATTTCAGTAGGGAATATATCAACTAAAATCTGAAGAATTAATCAAAATAATATCCCAATACATAAATGTAGTAAAGATTAATTTGGGATGACAGAACTACACTGAAGACAAACAATAACAATAAGAAAGCAAAATGAAGAAAATAACAAGCAACCAACATTCCTCCAGCATAAAAGAACAAATAGGAGAGAAAAATTTTGAAGAAAACTTTATATAGAAATAAAATTGTCATTGAAAATCCAGAAGAACTTGATTACCTTTGTCTAATCAAGAACACTATTTTTTAAAACTAAATGATTGTATGTGGCTGGTGGCAGCGGGGGTTGGGGGTGGGAAGTAATATGGGGATTTTTTTTTTCTCTATAAGCAACAATCTGTAAACAATGCCCTAGAAATGTAGTTGTTATTTTAAGTATTGTAGATGATAATATTTACTAATCATCCTAAACCAGAAGACTTCCTTTGTTAAACTTTCAGAATCTCAGTATATGCTGAAAGTTTTCACATCAAATATTGTTGACCTACACATACCAAACTTATTTTTAATAAACTACAGACCACTAGAATTATTTAACTTTTCCCAAAACAAGAATCATCAAAGATTTTCTTAGCTGCTTAAAATTTATTGATTCAAGCACATTAAGGAAAGAATAAAACCACCCAATTAAAGTATAAGAAAACATAAAGAATAAAGATTGTTCTCTTTTAATACACTTCAAAGCAAAAACACTATGCTCTTCTAGAACAAAGGTGTTATAACAACATGTAGAAGAATATAAAGAATGTATTCTGGATAAAGAAAGGAGACATTTTATAGGGTGGGAATGGGACAGAAGGAAACTTGTATCCTTGGCAGAATGGATTACCTGTCTTATATCTTTTTTGAAAAACCACAGTCTGGGTGAGTGAGTACTCAAGGCTCTTATTAAAACTCTTAGTATTGTGTCCCAACACAGCTCTGCCTTCTGTGGTTGATTGATTAGACTGCTGTTGCATGTTTTCCCTTAAGATTTCAAAACTCTTTACAGAGAATTTTAAACACAGCCAAGCTGATGCTATAAAATTGAAAGCAAAGAATTCATTTGAAAAATTACAAAGAAAAATTAATATAGTAATGGTAATATAAGGTAGAATAGAAAGAGCAGGAGATAAAAAAATCGGAACCCTCAAGTAATGATGACAAAAGGTAATCATTCAAAGAAAATGTTTTAGTTTTTGAAAGACCAATTGTTTTCTTTACCAAATATAGCCACTACCCTAGTAATAATATCTACCTCCTATGGGCAAACATGTTACTTCTCTCCTCAAGGCAAACATACCACTTTAGTTTTCCTCTCCCACTTTTAAGTCTTATTTATGCTAGAGTATGTCAGTGAGTAAGGAGATCGGTTCCACGTGTTGATGATTCTTCTACTCCACCATCTTCATTCATTAAGTCACATTTATTGAACCTAACTGCCAGTACATTGGTTTTCAAAACTGACTGACACATTAGAATTAGAAGAGTATAAATTGTTGCTTATTTTTACTATCAATACCCAAGTTCTACACTCAGAAACTAACCTGAGAGTTGGGAATGCAAGAATATTTTTTCTAAACCTCCCCAGATGATTCTAATTGGCACCAAGATTGAGAACAACAGACACAGTAGAGAGATTCGAAATGCTATTTAAAAATAAAATAGGTTAAGCTCTGCAATACCAGGTATGTGGTCACTGACAAACCATTCATTTTGACCTTGGACTTACATAAAATATAAAAACAATACTAATTCCTACTTTATAGCTCTATTGTCAGGATCAAATAAGAATAAATATGATGATGGTATGTAAATTTTAAGGCAAATATCAGTTGTACTAGAAATTCTAGTTCTTCCTTGTACAGGAACAGAGTACATTAGTGCCTCATAGTTCTATTTTCAATGTGTTTTTGATATCCTCTTATTAAATTTTATTGATACTTGTTTTCAATAGAAACTTCACGTAAGTTGAGATGAATTGGCATGCTATCATTTTGCTAATGCTGCTTAATTTACAAAAGGCAAATCAAATTGTGATTACAAGCCTTTTCAGTTCCTGCAAATTGATGTTTAAGGCATAGGATATATTGTTTGGATTCCTATTTTATACAAAACAATGATTGATAGAAAAATAAGTTTGTTGCTTCCTCAGGAGAATGCACTATGAACCAAACATCATTATCAAGGCATGCTACAGTGATAAGATGTGACCTTAAAGCAGTGAAATAGACAGATTCGAGAAAACAAGGACAAGATTATTTAATTGTGATATATGATGTTTAATAATACTTTTTTTTAAAAAAAGAAAACCGTATACTTCTTGAAGAAAAGAATAGTAACCGTAAGTAATAAAGATAAGTTTATAGTATTTAAAATATAAGGAAATCTAAAATTATAAAATAATTTAATGGTAGTTTGCTGCTTGGGGTACTGAGTCCTTGAATTCTAAATACAAGTTAGGCATAAAAAAAGCTTAATAATATATGCAAAGTTTATTTAGGCAACAATTTTATAATACTGAATATGTACATCCCTTATCAATACG